TCTATCTATACTTATATCTTTTTTTTCTCTCTCCTATCCTAATCTCTTCATCAGACTTTCTCGCTGCTTTAATAAGCTTCACCTCAGCAGTCGTCGTGTAAAGAAAAAGGCCTCGGGCAATCAGATTCTTTTCAACCGCAGAGTGGTGATGGATTCGACAGGTTCAATTTTTTTTTTTGGTTACTGTTCAACAGCGTTGTCGTTACCGTCGTGGCAGGTGACGTTCGTACCCGACTTCCTTATATTCAACTCACTGGGCCGAAAGAATTCAATGCCAACCGATGAAAATGATTTCAAAAAACACGCAAGAAAAGTTTTTTCTGGGGGGGGGGGGGGGGGGGGAAGCAGACGACGTAAAGGCAACGCGCCTTCTGTTAGGGCACTGCATACGAAGCTTGTCTGTCGTCTGTTCTCGAGGCACGCATGTCCTTAATTTTGAACGGACTATTTGTAGTACTTGTCAGTCGTCTGTTTGCCGTCTGCTTTTTACAAGAAGCCCGAAATTTTCTGATTGTAACACTGGCAAACAAATGTCTGAGAATAAAGTAAGCAAATCTTAGCCGACACGAGTATACACCTCGCTCCGCCTGCGCCTATGACTGTATTTCGTATAACCTTTGTTTTCTTTTACTTTGTTACTACAAAAAAAAAAAAAGTTATGGTGGGGAGTTCCTTGCGAGATCAACGAACCCGTCTTTCGTTCGACGTTTCCATAATCCCGCCCCCCCCAGCCGCGTGCGCTGGCGCCACCTACCATGAGAAAAAAAACGCCCTTCTTGATGCATTATGCTTAGCTCATACGTGTCGACATCGATGATGGAGTTGCGAAATAAAGCAAGAGAAGGCCTGTGGTAATATAGTTGCGGTTCGGACACCGCGTCCATCATCATATACTGCGTTGAAAGACCCGCGTTTTCGCTGGTTGCATATATATTGTTTTTGGATTCTCTATGAACCCCGGCTGGCCCACTGTTCTGTGTTTTATGTTTGTTTATGCGTTATCCGTTGTCGAGTTGAGCTCTCGGGAATCGGTACACCGCCTCCGTCGACGACCAACGGTGTTCCTCGAGCAGACGACGGAGTAACCGCGGATACATAAGCATTCAGGAACGGTGTTCCTGGAACGGCAGACGGTTTTGGTCGATCGGACATTTTCTGTGGTCTTTCTTGTTTTTCTCTCTCTCTCCTCTTTATTCGTTTTCACGTGCCGTCTGGCCAGATTCGTTTAATACTGAGCCTTTTTTTCTGCCACACTTGCGTTCGTTTGTGTATGCCCGTATGATTGAACGCATTTTACATGTCGTGCTTTGCTCGTTTTGTTGTTGCTGCCGTTGTTTTTTTCTTTACGGGAGAAAACGTTGCTGCGGGGCAAATCGTTTCATCTGGCGCGCTGTGAACGGTGCTTTATCGAATAAGTCGATTGATTCGGTTACGAAATGCTTGGCGCAGTTTGCCGTATAGCTTTCCAGAGGCATTATTTGGCTGCTATATTTCCCGATTCAGTACAGGGTGTCCGGGGGGGGGGGGGGGAGATAAAGAAGTTGTCGATAGTTTCCTCTTCGACCTTAGATATATAGTTCATTCCAGGATGCCCGCATTGACGCGTAGGTTATCGTAGCTTACGCACTCATTGTTGGCGCAAATGTTTCAGTATAGAAGGGAAAAACGTAGCAGACTGTTTTAGAGCCAGTTCGTTGAACTCGGTGCCTTGGCGTTCGACTGCTTTTCTGATATGTTTTCTCGCTTGTGCTGCGATACCTAAAAGCGCTACACCTAACGTGAAAAAAAAAGGTGCGAACAACGTGCTTTGCTGAAAGACAGTCCCTCGGAGGAGCGGTTCTGACGCCAACGTGTTGTACTTTAGGTTCTAGCCTGGACAGCCGCTGGACTTTCGAGAGTGCCGCGGTTTGTTTGCGTTTGCCCTTTGAAAAGCAAATCAGTGTTTGTGTGAAGTGTGCCCTGCGGAGTTTGATCTTTGGGTGTTCCTCCAAGCCTGGGGGGCCTGCGCACGTGTCGAGTGATGATGCGCACCGGCTTGTTCCGAGGCGATTGCTTTGCGCATGCGTAAACAACGCGAATAGGCGCGTGCGCGCTGTTCCTGTAAGAGTTTGTTTACTCTGACGGCGCAGCCGTCCTCTCTCTCTCCTCCTCTGTATCGTTCTGACGTACAGTTGTGTTCGTGGTCGCACTTTATCACTTTCCTCAAGCAGTGTTGGCTCGCTTTGCGTATATTTGTTTCTTTACTTCGAAACTGAGCTGTTCCTGCTTCCTCTCTAAACCTCATTTTTCTTCCTCGTCTTGTTAGTGTTAGCCGTACTCTTGGCGATTAGTGTCTTTGTCACAAATCGCTCTTGACGTCACTCGTCGGCGCTCCAATAGAGTTGAGCGTCGTCAGCTTATTTTTCACGCCGTTTCTCTCTTTTGTTCTTCGAACAGAAGTCGACACCTTTTTTTTTGTTGTTGTCGTCTGCTCGCTAAGTACATGCAACGGCTATGCAGAAGAACCAACGGCGCATCCACGCTGTCGTCTGTTTCTTTTGTGTGTGTGTGTTGTGTGTTTTCTGATGGCCGTGCCGTTGGCGGGCTTCTGCTTCTCGTCTGCTTCGTGCTGTGTGGTCTTCTGCTCCGTCCTATTCGCCGAGGCGCGCAGCGCCGCCTACTAAAGGGCGAGAAAGTTGCAAAGCGGTCGCGGTTGCACACGCTAACGCGCGCATTGTTAGCGGCGGCCATTTCTTCTTACGGGGCCACCGAAGTCCGCCCGGACGAAAAAAAAAAAAAAAGAACGCGCTGATGGATGTAGGGCACATGCTACGGCGTGAAACGTGTCGAGTGAAGCCGCTTCAAGCTTCCGTACTCGTGTGCTTTCCATTTCCTGTTCTTTCGTTTTGGTCGTCATGTTTTCTGGACAGTGGCCGTTATTCGCTCCCATGTTCTAGCCCTATACGAGTCGACCATTGAGCATAACGAATACATCGCTCCCTTTCGTCGTTCCCCTCCGAAGCAGACGGAGTAACTGTCCCGCGCGTGACGTCATCGCTCGGATAACTTCATTTCCGACGCTTCGTCTGCTCACTCCCGTGACTAACCAGACGAGCGCCCGGGGCACGATTGATTGAAAAACTACGACGCTGGCTGACGTTTTCTCGAATGTACTCTCTCGCGTGTTTCGTCGTTTCTTTTTCCGGAGTTCCTTAATTGGCCGTTACCCGGATGTAGCCGGCAGGCCTCTCGCGCTACCGTGTTGTGCTTCATTGCGGAACGGTTGGCATAATGGCAGCGCTCTCCGCGATGAAGCGGTGTTTGGTCGCTTAAAGTATTTCTTTTTTTGTTTGTTTGTTTTGCCCCATTATGCAGAGCACGTTTTTTTGTAAGCGGGCGGCTTTAACCGATTCACTAATCGATTACCGGCGGTTATTAGCTTTCAGTATCGACCGCTCGACGGAGCTAGCTCCAAGTTAGGATATGCCGTGCTACGACCCTTCGCTTCTCTTAGTCTTGATGACTTCGGCGGGCGCTCTGGAATGTCCGGAGGGAGTTTGAAAGAAGCGGGCCCGAGGAATTCTGGTCCGGTTGTCGGCTCGTAGTTACGGCGCGGGAAGTTCCGGTCTTCGTTTTGGACCAAGATATTTCGTTCTGTTTTGCTCTTCTTTTTTTGAACATTTAGTGCCCCAAGGGGGAGTTCGCGCTAATTTGACACTTCATTTATCGACCTAGCGTATTGCGTGCTGCTGCCTACGCGCTGCTTCGCGTAATCGATGACCATTTTTCTGTACCCGGTAAAACGTGTCGACTCTTTTGCTTCTTTCCGTTTTTTTTTCTTCTTTTTTATTGATTCGCAGACGTCTCCCCCTGCGTGGGTCGGAAATCCTGAGCGCGACATTACATCGCGGCGAATCCCCGGTTTCTATCCTATTAAGCGCGTTGTCGCCTTGCTCGTTTACGTAGCTTGTTTGCCGTTTTATTTCTTTGGTACATCTAGCGTTCCCTTCTTTTTTTTTCGGCACTGGGCCGCTTTGAGTTGCTTCTGTTTTGCTTGTTTTTGGCGAAGTGGGAGTGTGTAATCCTGCGGCTACGATTGCGTGCGACGAGGTGGACCTTCCCTTTTCGCCCCCTTCCGGCAATAGTCGTCTGCTCTAACTCTCATCAATCTGTCTACCTCGTCGTCTGCTTTCGCGGTTAGTGTCGTCTGTCCTGATCGCAAGGAAAGTCTTCGGCTCGAAATCTATAACTGATGCCGTCTGCATCGCTTTTTGACTCGCCTGCACTTTTTCAATTAGCGTCATACCCTGCCGTGTGAAGAAATTCAACGCAACGTCTTCTGCTATGCGCGAATTTGTTATGGCTAAGTTTGGTTCGTCCGGTACTCACTGAATCTCGAGTCTGCTATTGCACAGTTTGTTTGCTCGCCGTATCGCAGCTTCGCTTTTTTAGCGCTAGGCCGTCTGCACCTCAAGAACCTCCACGTCTGCGTATACGTGTCGTCTGTTATAGCATGTTTCGTTAGCTTAGTTTAGCGTGGAGTTTTTGCGCGTGCCTTCTGCTTTCGGAGCTCTTCGTCCCGCACCTGTCGTCTGCTCTTCCGTGTTTTGTCTGTCGAATGTGCATCGTCTGCTTTCGGATATCGTCTCTCTGTACATTTATTGTGCCGCGTTGTTTTTTTTTTTTTACCGCATCGTTTGTTAGGTATCGTATTTTAAGACGAGAGCCTTAGATGCGTCGTAAAACGCGATTGCGCTTACATGAATCATACGAAACCTCGGATGCCGTCGCAGAGGGCGCTTAACGCTGCGGCTGTTGTAAAACATTTTTGAAAGTTAGAGCGAAGTAATAGAGAGCCATTAAGTTTAATTAATGTAACTGAACTACTTTGGAGCAGTGCTTACGTTAAAATAGTGCAGACGTAATTTCCTTCGTCGGTCAAGTCGTCTGAGCTTGTGACCCCCGTGATTTTTTTTGTTTGTTTTTAAAGGTGTTGTGTGTTTTCTCACTAAGGAGTGTAATTTCGCTTCTCCTTGCTCCTCTCCCTCCTCCTCCTCTCGCAGGTCCTCGGCTCCGGCGTCTTCGAACTCCGGCTCGGCTCGTTCTCGAACCCTTCGAACCGCGACTCGCAGGGCGCCTGCTGTTCGACGGGGCTGCCCCCGGCCACCGAGGGCACCCCGTGCCCCGGCAGCCCCTGCCGGGTGTCCTTCCGCGTCTGCCTCAAGCACTACCAGAAGACCGTGGACACGGACTCGCCCTGCACGTACGGCGAGCTCAGCACGCCCGTGCTCGTCCAGTCCGCCTCGGACGGCGCCATCTTTAACGCGTCGAGGCCCCCCATCGCGTTCCCCTTCGAGTTCTCCTGGCCCGTAAGTGCATATCTACCGATAGGTATACCCCTAATTGGTTGTGAATTCTGCTGTCAGCAAGGGCGTATAGGCAGAAGTTCTTTTCGGGGTTGGGCACCTCCTTGATTTCAAATGAGAGGGGGGGGGAGGGGCACCTTTTTTAAATGGTCGTGTTTCACTCTGTATACCTTGACGAAAACAACATTCCGAGGGAGGGGGGGGGGGGGTGGCAACAACCATGTGCGCCATCCCCTGGCTATACGCCACTGGCGGTCGGTTAAACTCAGAGATATGATAATGTAGAAGTGGCAGAAGAGAATTTTATTATGTAAATAATGGCTTGTGGTTGGACCTGCCGAAACACTCGCAGTGACTTCTTATTCCAACATGAACCTTATTTAATGGATGATCCCGTTACCATTTCAGCATAACGCATTATCTTATGTGACATTAGCGTTTGTAATCGCTTTATTGATTTGCGTGTGTGTGTGCGTGTGTTCGTGTGTGTGTAGGTGAACAATTTGTTCGTTTGTCTAATCGATGATTTGCTATCTTTTCACTTTTCCAGGGCACCTTTTCGCTCATCATTGAAGCTTGGCACGAAGGACCTGCGCCCGCTGGTGAGTCGATCGATACGTTATCGACTAATCGATTACAGTTCATTTGGGGCTCCGTTCCAAGATTATATGGCACCAACCGGCCAAAAAAAAAACAGATAAGAAAGAGAGCACTTGCAGAGTAAGAGAGCAACGTCAATCGGTTCTCCAATTAACGCACATTAGACCACCATCACCTGTCAACATTAGTCTCCATACCTCAATAATTAATGAATAACTCGATAAGGAGCTTCTAAATGTGTCGTGATTGCGGGGGCGGGGGGATTCCTTAATCGGCTCTTTTGGATTTCTTCAATCCGCGTGACACTTAGCTTCGAACGGCCATGCAAGACAGGCCAGTGTATGGGAGCGATACAAAGTATCTGAAATTAGTCTATTAATAGAGAAACAATTTGCGAGGGTTAAGCGTGTCATTGCGCGTGTGCCAAACCACAGCGGTGCCGTCCACGCGTCCTTGCGAATCTTTTTATTTATTTTGTCCGCGTACGCAAATACGGGGAGTGAATCGTCGTCGGCTCGCTTTTTCTTTTCTTTTTAACCACATAATTACACCCCGTGGGCGTTGGCTCGCTTCTGTCCGTGCCTCATTATACGCGGTTAAACGCGTCGCGCGGTGGCACCTTGCGCTTATTGCGCCGCTGGCTATTGCGGACGCTTTCTGAGCTAACCTGACTGCCTTACTTAAGTGTTTAGCACTAAAGCTCACGGAGTCAGCAGCGACACCTGACGGTTGAAGAGGAAAAAAGAAAATTCGTTGTGTCGAGACAACGGTCCTTCGTCTGTACTTGCAGGCTGTGTCTGCGACAGTGCATGAAGTCTGCTCACCGTTAGCGTACGGTAGCGTAGTTTACCGTACGACAGGTAGCGTTTTTCTATTTTTTTTCTTTGTCTGAAGGATCTCACTTAGTCTCTCTGGTCATTTCCGTCACGTTCCCGTGCTCAGTCAGCGAGACTCGCACTGTTAAAAAAAAAACAATGTGTCTGAAAACTTCGTGCCGACCACGACGGTAAGCTGTTTGCGTATTTACCGTACGGTAAACTGGCGTTCCTATAGAACACCGTAGTAATTGATCGACAACGTTTTGCGCATTCAAGGCGTTATGCCGGCGGTCAGCTGTGTTTGAGATGCTGGAAGCAGCCTCAGAAAGCCTCGTTAAGCGCCTGTTCATCGACTGTACGGGATCGATGACGTTTCGGCGAAGGAGAATAGTTTTTGGTACGCTCCGATTCCAGGCCTTTGTTGTCGCCTTTCGCGTGATCGTAGGACCAACGGTAGGGAGTGCGAAAGCTGTGTAGTGACCCTGGAGGGGTGGGGGGGGGGGGGGTTCGCGAGAACATTACGGCTAACCAGCTGGGGGGGGGGGGGGATGCGAAAATGAAGCGAAGTGTGAGTCCAAGTGGCGGTCAGAAGGGCGTTTGCTTGTTGTTTCGTATGTCTGTAGTAAAGAAAAGGGAGGGGGGTGTCAATGATGATGATGGCATCATGCGCACACACGACCGAGGAGTAGGCGAGGGTGTCTGGACAGAGCCCCGGCGGTACGTTGTGCGAGCTAGAGCAACGCCGCCTTTCTCGAAGGCGCTCGGTGATAGTCGCCGGGTGAGGAGGTGATCGAAGACGGAGGAGTAAAGGAAGGTCGAGGCGCGAGGCGAGAAAGACGCTGAGGGGTAGTAAAAGATGAAGAGAAAAAAGATGGTGGAGGGTCGGAGGGGGCGCCGGGGGAAAATGGACCGTGAGAATCTTCTCTTCGCCCGAGTGTGCGAGCAGCTTCGCAGGCAAGACGGCCGGGGCAGGTTGGTTGCTTTGGCGTACGTGGGCAACAGCAGCAGAAGCAGCTAGCCCGGCTACATGCAGGGAGCCCGACCGGTGGCGGCGTTTGTTGTGTCGTGCCGTGTAGGCAGGTAGCGAGGATTTCTTCGGAGAGGGAGGGTGGTAGCCCGTGGAAGGACGCGCTTTTTTGCTCCGACTACGACGAAAGCAAGTACGGCTGCTTAGTTGAGGAGGTGGCCCTCCCGCTGATTCGGTTCTTTTGCTTCCTTTTTCGCGCAACCTTCTGTGTGCGTGTGTGCCGGTTTTCCATTTTGTATCGTTTTTTCCTTCCTTTATTTGTTATTAGTGCTAAGCCTCGTGAAAGGAAGGCCCATCTTAGCTACCCTCTTCTTCCATTGGTCCCCGTCGTCTGTTTGTCGTCGTATCTGACCGTCTGCTAGCGCCCCGCTGTCGTCTGCTTTTTCCTGCTCGAGGCGAAACTCTCCCTGTCACCTGTTTACAAAACGAGGGCGCGGCTGTGGGATAAACCGCCTTAAATGAGATACTTCTGAAGGGCACGTGGCTTGCCCTTCTAACGATAGTGATAGCGCGAGAACAGGACGACGACACTGAGACAAGAAGGACACGAGCGCTCCGCCTGTGTCGTCGTTGTGTTCTCGCGCTATAACTATCGTCATGTCATACCAGCTAGCCCAAGCTGCCCCACTTTTAAGCTGCCCTCCTATAGTTCGCAGGTGGGTCTGGTTTCGATCCGTAATTGAATGGCGCCGTTTATGTCACCGAGTCGTCTGCATCACCTGAAGTCTCTTGGTCCGATGCGTGGACAGACGTGATCGGCTGCCAGACGGACAAATCGCAAGTTCAGGCAACATGCACGCGCTGGACGCTTCGGCGCGGATGTAATTGGCCGCATATTCGCTTCGTGCATAGAGCTCCGTTTTGTCACCGACTCGACTCTTAAACGTTTTCCATCTGGTATGCGTTACGCAACAATGTCAGCAGACGACGTTGCTAGGAAGTGCGAAACGAAATAAGGAATCACACGACAAGCAGACACGTGACACTTCTGCCAGGGTATAATTGGTTGCAGAGGTGCTCCGCACTTTGAGCTCCGTCCTGTGAACGCGTCGTCTGCACTTGAGGGTTGTTGATCCTCTACGCGTTGCGCAGTTATGCGAGCAGACGACGTAGCAAAAGAAGAAGCAGACGAGACCGCTCCTACCTCATTTCGCCGTCAGGTAAACGCTGGCTTCCGAGATACGGGCTCCTATTGTCGTATAGAGCAACGAACGGAGGGAAACAATGAGGGATGATGTACGTACTACAATAGCGTACTACGCGTAACGTCAAGAGCGTGGGACTCCGAGAGTAGCGTCGGCGGCTTAATTGGCTGGTTACCGCCGCCGCTGATCGCGGACCCCCCCGGGCGCTTTCGGGTCTCTTCGAGGAGTCACGTGACTCCGTGCGCGAGCGGAGGATGTTTTCGAACTGGCCTTTTGGCAGCCGTGGCTGCTGCAACCAAGTACTACTGGATGCAAGCCGAAGGCATTTAACTTTGCTCTCGCTACGCCGGCTGCTCTCGTGTTTTGCGTTCTTTTACCGTCCGCCACTCAGCGAGGCGTAGTCTGAGGAGCGCTGCGCGGCCACTGGGATCGGCGGCGGCGGCGTTTTCTTGTTAATCTTCGTAACGGGGAAAGCCGGTTTGCTCGCAGTGCTGCGCTTGTACGGCGAGCGGCGTTTCGCATCGAGCAGCGGCGAAAAAAGAAGACCAAAAGGCGTGCGGGACAAATACGCGAGCCGCGTGGGAAAATGATGCCGCGCCGCTCGCTTCGTGGCTTGGCTCGCTGCTCCTTGGGTGCCCTTCCATCGCCGCCGCCGCCGCCGGCCTGATTGGCCGATGCGGAACGGGCCGTCCGCGACCTGTCGTCTGGACGTCGTCTGCTGCCGGCCGCTGTCCTTGTCGTCTGTTCCTCTTCTGTTGGTTTGTTTGTTTATTTTTGTGTCGTCTGTTCTCTCGTAGACGTTTTTTTGCTACCTGGCAATAGTTCAGGCGATCTGACTTCGCGACCGTGGGCCGAGAGATTTTTTTTTTTTTCACAGATGTGTTCGTTTTGTTGCAGACGTGACAAAAAAAAAAGCTTTTAATTGATCTTTAAGTAAAACGGCTGCATGGTACGTGAAGAGAGATCGACTGAAGTATCACCAATAGCTGACGGTGCTTACAAGAGAACAGACTATAAAGGGTATAGCAAACAGACTGAAGACGAGAGGCCGCGCGTTGACTCCTCTGTTACCATAAATGACACTCCTGTTCGTCTGTTAGTGATGTGACAGGCGAACAGAATCACCATTTTATCTAACAATGCGTGAATTGTCGGGCCGCCTTTAGTTATAGCGTTTGTGGAATCATTAATATTTGTCTAACTGTAAGTACTACCGAACTCGAAACCTCGATGAAACTTTGACGGGTCTGCTCCGGCCAGCGTTGGAAGTTACGTCCCAATTATGATGACGGGTTGGAGTAGCAATCCACCCGTGTGTACAGGAACGGTAAAAGCGTATATTCTCTGACAAATGCCGGCGCGGAAGAGGTGCCTTTCCGATCTTCCGCCTGCTGTTCATCGCTGAGCTGTATGAAACTCGTTCAACCGATTCAGTATCCGCGGTCAGCTAGGGCGTGGCGGCGTTGCCGCTTTCTCCGGTCCCGTTTTGGTCGAGCTCCAAAAACCGCAGCCAATTCTCTTACTTGAGAAGCTAAACGAGGTCAAGCGTTCATTTGTTCCCACTGTTCCGGTGTGATTCCTTTTGGTGTGCCGGCAGGTTGCATTCAGCGGATAGAACACCAGACGTTGTCGTCGCAACACAAACCTGCTCCGGCTCTCACGCTTCCGGGTGGATAGAGAACAACCGTGACCGAGTTTTTTAGACGGGAAAGGGCCGAAGGGATGCCCCCGTCGACTTCTTCGCCGCATCGTCGCGGGAACGGGCCGGCCGCCGCCCTCGTTTTAATCTGGCCCTATCGATTTGGCTCGGGTCCTCGTGCGAAACTTTTGTCCGGTCGTTTTTAAGGAACGCAGCGTTGCGTCGAAGTTTGGCTTGTCGGCCTTGTCGCGGGCATCGATCCTTGCGATGCCCGCCATGTTGGATCGATCCCACGGCAATTAGGCGGCATTCCCGGCATATCTGTCGTCCGCACTCGGAATACGGGCGCCTATTACGTCACCGGCGCCTTAATTAGTCGCTCGGCATCGCCAGTATGGCACTCTTGCGTAACAACCCGGTAGTGTATGCAGTTAAAGGGTTATAATAAAGGTATGTCCTGTTTTCTTGGTTATCGCCGTATCGTCTGCTCATTTCCATGCGATAACCATCGTCTGCTCGTTTCGGCGGAAGGGGTTGGCTGCCAGAGTTCCTGTTTTAACCACGCCTGCTTTCGCGCATATCAAAAGGCCGTCGTCTGCTCGCGCGTCGTCTGCTAGCTCGCGCCGCTCGCAGCGCTCGCTGTGGGCACGCAAACGCAGTGCCCTGGCTTGCTCGAGCGCTGCGCAAGAAAGCCGCCGGAGCGAGGAGAGAGGGCCGGCTTAGCGAGTTGTGGGAAAATCGGGCTCTTTCGAGGCCGATATAATTTCTTCGCGCTGCGCTTGGCTGCCTTGAGGGTCGCGGTCTCACGGACGCAGCCGCCGCTTCTTCTTCTTCGTAAACTTCTTTTTCTGCTCGCTTTTCGGGTCCTCTGCAGCCGTAACTTGGTCGCCGTCGTCGCTGTCGTTCGCGTTCCCTTTCCCACCCAAACTCCGCCGCCTTCTTTTGGCTCGGCTTATTTTTCTTGTCGTCTGCTCGAAAACTTGTCGGTCGTCTGCCTTTTTTTGTCTTAGGCCTTTTTCCCTCGCCTCCGTATTCCTCGCTTCCGTTCGTCTTCATTACGGCGCTTTTCGCTTTTATTTAAGCCTCGCCCGCTGGCTTTGTTTTGACCCTCGCTCATTCTCTCTCACAGGAGTGGCGTGTGCGCGCGGATGCTTTTTATTTTATTTTGCCCAGTATTTCTTCTTGAGTGGAATGCCTTTGTTTTCCCGACATGGCGCGAGAATAAGTTTCTGCCGCCGCTTGATGCTGCCACATGCCTCGCTGGTTTAAAAGGCAAACTGCGCGCGCGCGAGTGTTGTTTCCTGGGAGAATGGTGGCCCCGGCGGTCGGACATTCTCATTACTTGTGTGTGTGCTTTTCTTCATCGTTTTTCCACAGTCAGGGTTATGCGCGCAACTTTCGGGCCCAGGCATGTCGCGCTTCGTTTCCTGGCCCGACTTCCACGGCTTCTCGTATTTTTTGTTTTCGTCTGTTTCTTCGCCGTCTTCTGCTTTTTTCGTCTGTTTCTTCGCCGTCGTCTGCTCACTTTCATCTGTTTCTTCGTCGTCTTCTGCTTTTGTCGTCGGTTATGCCTTCACCACGTGCTAGTTTCTGTCGCCTATACGGCGGTGCTTTTTTTTTTCCCCTTTTAAATCGTGTGCATGTTTGTTCTTCGTCGTCGGCAATCTTTACGTTGCCGTATGTTTGTCGCTGCTTCTGGCTTTTCGTCGCTTCGTTTTAATGCTAGCCATTATGCTTGACGACGCGTATTACTCGGGAGCGCCCCGCATTGTTTTTTTCCATCTGTTCTAGCGCCGCGTGTCTTGATTTTTGACTTTATATAGTTTGTTTGTTCCCTATGCCCTTTCCTTCTTTTTCCATAAGGTGCTTTCTCTGCGGAGGTGGGAAAACGAACGCGTCTATGTTCAGGTCTCAACTGAGCACTGCTACCGCGCGATTTGCGCTACCGGGGAGTGTGTAGCGAAGGGGGCGGGGCCTGTGAAGTGCGAAAGCTATGGAAAAGAGTGAGATCCCACTGTTCTTGGAGGAGAAAAAAGAAAAAGTGGAAGAAACGGAAGCAGCCCGCCTTTCGTCGAAAGAAAAAAAAATTGAAGGAAAAGGTGAGGGGGTTGAAAAAAACGAGAAGGCGCAGAATGAAGAAAGTATATGGACGAGTAACTCGGCCTCGGACCCTGCCTTCCCGCTTCGTGCAGATGCTACTTCCGTCCTAGCGACCATTAGAAAAGAGGCGCACTCATGGATCCAGCAGGGGGAGGGGGGTAGCGACTGCTCTCTACCTCATTTTCTGACCTTGCGCACGCCTTGCTTGGCTTCCTTCGGTGCCTGCCGCCAATTTTTTTATTTCTGGGACTCGCTATCTTGGAGGTCTGTTCTTGTGTTATCTCCCCATTCCCCACTGGGTACCTGAGAAGACGATCTTTCTCTCTTTCCCCGCTGCGTGTTAACTCCCACTGTCGTCGCTCAGGCATTCTTAATAAATGATACGACGCGTCCTGGCCCTTCCTCACGCTTCCGCGTAAGTGGGCGCCATGTTGTTTTTACACGCCGAAGCGCAACGTTTTGCACTGGTTCACATGCCTACATTTTTTTACATTGCAGTAGTATACCAACCACTGGTGCTGCCACCGGCGCAGTGCCGTCAGCTTCCGGCCGAAGTTTATCCGTCGTCTGCTTCGTGGTAGTTTTGTCGTCTGCCGTTCCAAACGCTTTCGGTGGCACGCTCTTTTTCGGTCGTACGACTCGCGTATATCGAGATTTGATCTTCTTCAACTTGCCTCCTCGTAATCTGTCGGAACGTTGATTGAGAATCGAGTCGCCTTGACTGTTTCTTTTTTTTCCCCGGTACGCGATACCATATGTCATCTGCGGCCGCTGAACAGCTGGCGTAGTGTGCTGTTCTGGCAAACGTTCTGTAACTTGGCAGTCTTTTTGCAACCAAGCGACGATAACGTCTGCTTCGACACCGTCCGCAACTGTTTCGTTCTCATCTGCTCTGCCCGTAGTAGCCTTTCCGGGCTATCATATCTCTTGTGCTGGCTACACCTCAACTTTGCGCCTTCTGCAAGAAGGCGTAACTTGGCGCCTTCTGCAAACAAACTACGGTAACCTCTCCTTTAGAGTTGGCGTGTATGCTTGCTAGGGTAACTCTAGTCTGCTTCAACACTGTTTGGTTGTCGTCTGCTTCACCGTTGTAGCCTTTCCGGGCTGTCTCCTGTGTGGGCTTCTCCTTTTGTGTCCTCGTCGTCTGCTAGCCTTTCGCAATATATATGGACGTTGGCGCTAACCGAAGTAACGCTTGAGTCTGTTTCGTTGTCGTCTGCTTCTGTCCTTCTGTCTTAGCAGAAGTACGGGTGCGTTCGCGCTCCTGTAACGTCGTTGTTGGGTGAAGAAAGAGGGGCCAGGGGGTGTCTGAAAAGGTTGGGGGGGGGGGGGGCGGGCACGCGACGCGATCGAGTTCCTTCACCCCTCCTGTCACGAACAAGGGGGGGAGTGGGGGTGGTAACAGCCCCTTGCTACTGCGGCGCCGGGACGAAGACAAAAGAACTGACCCCCGTCCTTCTTGTCTTCACCCCCCTTCATCTTTCTGGACGCGGCGTTCCCATTCAGAAGGCGGTACTGCACGGCGTGTGCCCGTAAAGGAGGAACGCGGTTAATTGGAAGGAAACAAGTGCCGGTACTCGAAAGGTGCCCCCTTCTTTCTCGCTGCCCTCAACGGCCCCCTTTGATACCGGCGTCGGACTCGCACTGCGGATTGTCTCGTGGTGGCTCGCGTCGCGGCTAGTCTGTAACGAGGCAACCGAAGACGGCGTGTGTTGGGCCAGCTTTGTCATCTATCCGGTCGTGTTCTTGGTTTTGTGTGTGTGTGTTTACGCGTCGGTTCGGTCGCTACAGGCTGTTGCCGCCTGTCGGGAGGGCGCTCTTTAATTGGCCGTGACACTCGCTGAATGAGTGTCAGACGGCCCAGCGGGCCTATAGCGTGGTCGCCGCCGTGTCTATTTTTCCGAGAAGTAGCTTTTCTATAATCTAATCATTTCGTTTTATTCACTTCCTTGCCTATTGAAACCTGCGCTACGAATGTCGCTCACTGAAACGAAGAAGTGCGACGAATTAGGAGTTGAAATGGGGTTACAAGTGTCCCGACCGCTGGCAACGAGGACATCCTGTGCCATCGTCGTGTCGTTGGCATTCCGGGGACCTGTCGGCTGTTGCGCGCGCCGAGTGAAACACCCAGCTGCGAGATGGATTTCCGTTGGACACACGGCGATGACTCTACGCACCGCAAACTTCGTGATTACGTGTAGCCTTGCGGTTGACGTCTCTGGGAGCGCCTTGTGCAATCGCTGCGATACCAGAGTTCCCGTTATCACCCCGTGCAGACGACACATACCCCACCTCCTTTTTCCTTTCCCCACCCGGTGATAGTTACATTGTCTGTTATGCAAGTGGCCGCACGCTAACGAGGAGAGTACTTCGGCAGGGCCTTGTACAGGCGCTATTGTGTCCTTCTGCAGTGTTTGCGAAGAATAGCATACGAACTCCATCCAGACGACGCACTTAACTAGCCATCACCTTCTGTAAACGAGGTATGCGTCAAAGCTCGATGTCGATCGCTACATCCAAGATCCAACATCAGACAACATACAGACTCAGCCGCCTCATAAGTGACGGTGCTTTGGGGGTCTCGCTGTGTCTCTAACGTGTGTAATGACTACTAGTAAACGAGCTTTTCAGACTACAGAGTCGCCATGGGCCTCACCCGAGTATTACGATCTATATGCACGGGCACGCGATGTCGTCTGCTCCTTCCGGCCGTGGCAGACGACACCGAGTGCGATGTCTGGCGCTGTCTGTATAGTTTGCAATTACCAGACGTCGCGTCTGCCCTCGCGTTTTCTCGCCTGACCCCGTTTTGTTTTCCTCCCTCAGGTGGTTCGGCCTCCTCTGGCGTCCACCGGACCCTGGTGGCGCAGATGTCGACGCAGAAGTGGCTCGACGTGGGCGACTCGTGGACGCCCGGCACGCTGCAGAGGGAGCGCGCCGCCCTGTCCTACTCGTACCGCGTCCGCTGCCAGGAGTTCTACTACGGCTCCGAGTGCGCCAAGCTGTGCCGGCCCCGGGACGACAAGTTCGGCCACTTCACCTGCAGCGCGTCCGGCGACGTCGTCTGCCTGCCGGGCTGGAAGGGCGACTACTGCACCAAAGGTCAGTTGGTCGACGTTTATTGGCGGCAAAGTGTCGCGTCTTTACGGGCACGTCATTGTGATCGCTTTACACCCGGAGCCGCTTCGTACGGCTAACGCGACACGTTAGCAGGAACTGTCTGCTACAGCGTGCTGTTCCCACGCTGCTGCTAATTTATCGGTGATCGCCATTTTGCCTTGCTTTGTCGTTTGAAATTACCGTGCTCTCTCTACGCACACACCGCGCAAAGTTCCCAGCCTCTAATTCTGTGCATTGGCATATTCGCGTACTGCTGACAAACTCATTTGGAACTTCCTGTGGGCAGAACTACAACTCCTTTAGACAGTGATAAACTCCTTTAGGGACGTCTGATTGGAATCTGCTTGTCAACAGCGCGTTATTCTCGCGCGGGCTCGTCTTAAAGGACGTCCTACGGATGTCTCTTATTGATTCTGTCCGTACGTCTGTTCGTTAAGCTCGAGGACAGACGACGATCTGTTGTCCGTCTGTTACCCGGTTTCTGCCGTCTGCTATTCTGAATGAAAAACAAACAAACAGGAGCAGATTTTTTTTTTTTTGTTCGCCTGATCGTAATAACCTCGGCGTTTCTCGCGTCTTTGTTGTCCGCGGACGCGGCCAGTTTTTGGAACAATTAAACGCCACCAGTCGTCGCTGGCCATGCTGGAGACAGTAGAGTGCGGGGATGTTGTGCAAGACCGCCGAAGCGTGAAAGCCTTCAATGAATGAGTGAACGGACTCAAGCCTTCATTGAATAAGTGAACGGGTATAGAGAGTGAGGGTCCAATTCTGTCGTAGCGCCGGATTTCCTCGGAACACAGTCTACTACTATGGGCCACCGGCGGAGACGGGGACGTACGCGGTATAGTAGAGACGAGACGAAGGGTGGGGGGAGTGACGTCACGTCCGCTATTTCGTAACCCCTTTTCCTCGGCGGCCACCCTCCCTCCCGTCTCCGGAGTCATCCATCCAGCCGCCCGTGACAGGCATCCACCTCTGTCGCGTCACCCTCATGTATTTTTCTTCATCTTCGTCCCAAGACGTTTGCGAGGGGGACGGGAAACTTGTGACACGCCTGAGGATGCCAGTTGTTTTATGTATTTTGTTTACTTCCCATTCCACCGTTCTTCATCTTCTTCGTCTGGTTGCGTGATATCTAACGACGAGTCACTCCGATGCCCAGCAAGCGTCCCGGCACCCGTTATAGAACCAGCTGGTTTTAGTAACTCCCAGTTATTCGAATGCTGTTTTGCGAGGTTAGTTAACCCGGGAAGTCGCGCTCGGGCCCCCATCATATGCATTCCGTTGTACCAATAGTTCGCGAAAGATGCCCCAGTAGTATCGTTGTTAATGGTTACAGGCTTCGTATTCCACGTGACTTAGGTTTGCGTAAAGTCGAAGCAGAGTTACTTGTTCCGCTACAGTCACTTAATATCAAATTTATTTTGAGGGATGAGGGGGTTAACTAGGTCGATGTATGTTTGTTTGTGCAGTGTATACGCACACATGCAAACACACGTCAATATTTCAGCGGTTACGCCAATGAATGTTCCGCTTGTCAGTCAATGTCGTGGGCTGTACCAAAGTTTCCGATTACAGAGAGTGCCCATCATCCAACCTAATAGCCTAAGTGCGCTTGCCCTGCATTGGGGTAGTCGATAATTTCTCGGAACCGAGTTTGGAATTAGATGGTTTAACCCCTTCTCCCCCCCCCCCCCCCTCCGCTTTATCCCGAAGGAAACTTCCGGACTTTAAGTCACGATCATTCACTCATTTCCTTCACTTTTATCAAGATACTTAAAGGCCGTTTCGTTTATTACTGCCATTTCTTTAGTTAACGGCCGTCGTTACGTCCATGCGGTGTATCGGCTCTCTCGGCGCGGGTTTTTTGTTTTTTTTTTTTCACTCGCGAGAAGCCATCGACCGGATAAACGTTGTAAATGTTGCCCCGTTGGTCGCTTACCCGCTGGCATACTTGCGAACCTTCGAAAAACTACTGGGAACAGAAAAATGAAAGAAATCCCGAGTCGCGCCGTCCTTCCCTCGTAAGAGCAGTCGAGCTAGTTGGGGGACGAGGCCGTGGGAATGGACGGGCTTTCTTTCTCGGTTGTCTGTCGTCGTTTTCGTTGGACGCCGACGAACGAAGCCGACGCACCCACCGTTGACGGTCTCTCTCGTTGCTATACGGCGTTCGCACATGGAGCCGCGACGTCGAAGCGAGAGGTCGGCCCCGCAAAACCTTGACTTTCTTCGGCCCGCCCACGTCCTCTTACGTGTGTTATGTGCGTGTGCTATCCCATCCCTGCTCTCTCTCTCTCTTCAGTTTTTATGCATTCAGTGCCGCTTTATTATAAAAAAAAATAATAAACGCTCCCCGCCATCGCCCCGAGTGTCCTCTCTTATATTCCGTCCATCGCCCTACGTGCGCACGTGCAGTCCACGTCTTTCATTCCTTGCCACGGAGCAGCAGCTCGCTTGGAAAGGCTGCAACGTGAGCGCGTAGTAACCATGGCCTCCGTGATTCGGGGCACATCGTTACCCTAGGAAACCTGCAAGTATGGCGGGGGGGGGGGGGGGCGATCACGAAGGCCGTGTATTATTATTATTCCTACTCCACGCCTCTTCTTTCGCGCCGTGGATTAAGCCCTCCCCTCAACTCTCCGCAAACGCAAACACATCAGGCCTTCGTGATCTCTTCCGAGCAGAAGTGCGCGCGCAGTCACGGAGGCCGCCCTGCAACCTCTTCACGTGTGCAATGTATTGTCTCGCAGGGCCGCGTTATCTTACGTTAGGGTACCAGCGAGACCTTGTGTTTCTCGCCATGTTGAAGCTCTTACGTTCCTACGAATCTTTCGCACTTCGTGTTAGTGAGCAGTGACGTGGGGACCAAGTGCCGGGGGCGGACGAACCGTGTCGGAATGCCTGGGAAAGGGTAGAATTGTCTTCGTCCACCTCTCAACTTGCTTGTACAGATAAGCAAGCTCGCTACTACGATCTGTTCTTTCTGTATAATCCAACCGATGCACAGGTTCACAAAGGGAATGCGCTCTATAAGGAACTCGTGTACATGATCGTGCAGGTAGAGAAACGCAATTCCAAGACCCCACCGCACGTTCCGCTCTGTGTGATCGCAGAGTTATACTGTAAAATGTAGGAGTCACAGGGAAGTGAGTCAGATACCCCTTTTTTTCGTGGTTCTTTTGTTTTTGGTACTCGTTTCTCGCTTACGGGGAGGCCCGTCTTGCAATGATATACGGCGCGAGGCGATAATTTATTCGCGCCGCGTGGGTGGTGACGCTGCCCGTCAGCCCGAGTGCACGTTTCCGAAACGTTAAACAACAACAACAACGAAAAATACATAAATAACAACGAAGCTCGCTACGGTTCTCGTAAATATGGAAGGAAGAGGGGGGGGGGGCGAAGGGGGTCTGCTAAGCTCGCGCGAAGGAGGGGGCGTAGTGGTACGTAAGAGCCGCCGTTGCTTGGAAAGCGAAAGCTTAGATAGAAAGTCGTCTCTTCCTATCTCCCTCTGAACTCTTGTTTTGTCTACATTTTCATTTGTGTTTTCCTTAATTTGTTTTTCTCTGTACTTTAATTCGCTTCTTGAGTGACACCACATTTATTACTTCCACGTTGTTTGTTTCTGTTTCTGTCTTCCTCTGAGGGCGGCTTTAGGGAGGGGTGTGAGAGACGTTGTTTTCCCAGCAACTGCTCGCTCTGCAACCACATGATCAGGTCTGTGTCTTGGTAGGGGAGGGGAGGTAAGGGGGGGGGGTAAGGGCTGGGGCATAGTCTTGCCCCTACCCCCACCACCCCGTCTCGGAAAGACGAAGGTGTGGGTGACACTGATCCAATCCGTCACCGTATGTACGTGTGGGTCCGCTCGCGCTGCTCGAATGACGTTTTTTCTCGCGAGCATACATTATTATTTTTTTTCTAGGAGGAACGGGCGCATATATTCGCAATAATTATAGTCGTCTCTTTTTACGGGCGAGGTCTTGTGGCGAGCGTGTATCTATCTCTCGAGTGTCACGCTTCGAGCAGAGACCCGGGCTCGCGTACATCAAAGACCATCCGCCTTTATAGCGAAGCGCTGCTCCCGCCGCCACCCATCTTCTGCCTGGCACCGAACTATAACCGCGTGACGCTTTATTTTGCGTTTTAATTTTTGTTCCGTTACGTAGAAACCGTAACCATGCTACGCTATCTGCAACATCTAGCTGTCGGGCTCTTTGATAAATTCGTGCGCCCGTGAATACCAGGATGCGCTCGGCAGCGGTGACTTAAATTAAGCTGATTGAACGCTCTTCGAACTAGTTGTCTGAACAGCGGTGTTCCCGAGGGAAGGGGGGGGACGGAGATAGGGAGAGAGAGAAAGTAGAAAAATGTTCAGCCGCGGCCGATTCTCATATCCGCCCTCGATTGTACGCCGGTTCTTCCCCTGTAATTCGTGAGCCATGTAAAATACATGTAAGAACTATATGATGGCACGTCTGTGGTAGCCCAAGTTCATCGCTAACGTATTTTAAGGCACCCTCAAACTATCACAAACTTGCTCTATAAAAAAAGAGGAAGGTGGGGGTGGGGGCGAGAAAGAAAGAAAGACCAGGATCAATCAATCAATCACTTCATTTTATTAGGAGAAGTACAGGACTAAAAGATCAAAAGCTTGAGGAGGTCCCGACCACGTTCACAAGTCGACAAAGCAACGGCAATGGCGGACAATTGTGCTAAAAGAATACCAAATAATCTTTTTCGCATAGCATCGGATAAAGTGATACAAACTTTATGAAACGAAGTGCTGAAATGATTTCGAATTTGTCCACGCATTGTTGCCCTAATCTTTATAGTTGTCAAAGATAGCCGCTATTTATAGATGCGCTTTATTCTTTGATCATTCAACGCCGCGGAGATAGCTGGCCTTTCTCCATTGACGGAACGGTGTTCTTACATCTGGGAGCGTAAAATGCCGACTACATAGTATACCTTCTTCGGAGTTTGCA